GCTCAAAAGAAGGAAAGAGAAAAGAAAAACCACCTGTAACCATCCCGGCTATCAGGCAACAGCACGTCTGGGGACCAACACTGATCTGCAGCTCTAAACAATCATTACGGCTCATTCACGTAAAAAAGGCGATTTGTGAAGACTCATTCTGTCATAAAACCCGCGTGCTGCCGATCCAAGGAGGAAAGCACTGGGGAGACCAGTTGATGCGGGCTGTTCTAAAAATATCAGTTTGTGCTGTCATCTGGTGAGAGTATGTCATCCTGTAATCTTGGCATCTGCAGGGACAGCAAGTTTCTGCCTAATTATTGCTGCTGAATCACATGACAAAGCATGAGGTACTAAAAAATATATCTATATAAAAACACCAACAGAACACCCAAACCACAGGATCAGACCACTGTCCTGGCTTCAGCTGCTGTACACTCACACAAGCCTGCGGAGGCAATCCTGTTTTTTACAGATCTTTTTCCTCGGTTAATAAAACCCCGGAACATAAACCCAGATTAAAAAAAACACCAAAACCAAAAAGCCCTACTCCCAGAAGGAGGGAGCGATTCATCACGTTGGTGTGTCAGCTCCTGCTGCCTTCACGCAGTGAAAGCCACAGCATCCCTGCAAGCGCAGGGCTGGCCCCTGAGTGCAAGGGGGGTTTGCCCAGCTTTCCCCTCTCCTCCTCCCCAGCAGCCACGAGTGCCGAGTTTTCTCCCGTGCTGCTGCTGCGTGCCCAGGGAGTGAGGAGTCTGCTCGGGGCAGGCCCTCCTTGGAGTTAATGGGATCCCTGTTCCCAGCAAAAATACGTTTTCTACACAGATATTTTTGTTCAAAGACTAAACTTGGCGCGCATGGTGTTCAGCCAGTCACAAAACCACCTTTCAAAACTTGGGCTGGCTGAAACTACACTTAAATGTTAGAAGCGTGCCACTGCCTTAACCACTAACCTGTTAGAAATGGAGCGGAAGAATCTGCTGCTCCTGAATTTCCTTTAGATTTTTTAAAGGCAGGCAGCCCCATCTTGGCTCCATGTAAGAAACCTGCCAGCCCTACCTCTAAGACCTCATTTTGGAAAATAAGAGAGCAGCAAGCGCAGCTACGGTCCTGAGGCTGTCAGCATCCTCAGGCAAGAGGTCCCCTGATTCTGATTTCCATATATCAGCTTTACTGAGCAGAAAACAAGCTTTCTGGTAAAGAATAAAAATAATCTTCCTCATGGCATATTGTCCAGAGGTCTCCGATTCAAAACTCCATCCAAATGGAGATCTTTTCACTGTCTAGTTCAACTTCTAAGGTGGTGTTGTAGTGAATAGTAAGTCATGCTCAGACCTATGCATTTGTCTTTGGTATGAATTTCACCCAGAAATATGTTGAACGCCAATTAACAAATCAGCAAGTAGTCCAAACTGATACGGACTAATGAAACACCAACAGGCATTTCGTTGCGTTTCCTAGGATTCTGCTTTATCAGAGATGTTAATCATCAAACGGTGCGAACGTTACATGACGTTGCTATTAGTTCCTTGTGCGCTCTACTGCTGCCGTAAGATGATGTGGGACCTAGATGATGCTAGGGCAAAATGAGTGACTTGAACGGATCTGTGAAGTATTTTACTTGTAATTTTTGAACAAACCAACGTGAATCCAGCACAGCTCTGTTACAGAGCCCAGAGGCATCCCGCTAAACAGCACGTTGAAATCTCTCTCAGAAGATGCAGCTAGGTGAGTTTTTCGGATGGTGGAACCAGCTCAAGAAGTTCCTGCCCTGCTTGTGCTGAGCCGTCCTCCACCCCTTGCCCGAGCCCTGCCAGCATCGCTGCCTGCATGGTACCGTTATAAACTGGATCACTGAAACCATCGAGGTAAAACCAACTTCTTGGATGGGTTTTGATGCCGGAGGACATGTTTGCCCAAGCGGTAGCTGATCATCGGCTCCTGACTTTCCAGGCAGCAGTAAATGTCCCGATAATCTCCCCTGTCGGTCTGTTTGGGACTACTTGTTGGCGAATGCCAAGTCCCTTGGGACTCACCAGCTGAGAAGGACCACGGGGCAAAGTGCAGAGTTGTGGGGACCCCGGGCTGAGAGAAGACCCATTAATTTCAAAATAAAAGGTATTCTAGAGACAGGCAAGGGAACAGTGACATCTTTATTTATTGATAAACAAGCTGAAAAAAACCAAGGGGATGATTATCTGAGTGGGCGGAGGGCATATCCAGTGCTCTTGGGAAGCAGGCAGAGATAGAGGAACAGAGGCCCCAGCCAGCTTAAGAGGGAAAAATTATGGCTGAGTGAATAAAGCAAGAAAAAAGCATATTGGTTTTCTCCTTTCTTTCTTGTAAGAGAAGAAAACAAAACAAACTCAAATTTGTTTATACGCCTTAATGCCAGCCCTCTGAAAGGCTGGGCACGGCCAGCCTCAGGGGCACAGGGCCAGTGCGGCGGGACCAGGCAAGGCTCTCTCCAGGGACCGTGCGCAGGCTTACGTGCAGCAAACGTGCACAGCCACTAAACCTGCAATGGTGGTGTCTCCTGCATGGGTTTTTTCACTTCCCCTATGAAGAAACTAGTTGATTTTGTCCCAAAGTAAACCCCCCTCTATACCTAGAGTATGTATAAACTAAATACCTATGTATTTGGCTTCTTTTCTTCCCAAAAACTGACTCCAACATTTCTCTTATTTTTCATAGAAAACACAGCACTCGCTATTCCCAGGTATGCCAATAACCCATTGTAACTGTTTCTGCCTGCCTGCAAAATGCACCTGGCCACCCTCATGAAACGGATTTAGTGTGAGCAAGCGCCAGGCTGCTCTGCTGAAAGCGTTCCCCAGTCTTCAACCCTGTAAAGATTCGTTGTTGAGATCACGAACACTGCAGAGAGAAGATTTTAATTCAGGGGTCCCTATTGCTACAGCAAAGTGGAGAAGTAACCAAGAAAGCAATTCAGAACGATTGCATCTGACGTCACGCGAGGCGCCCCTAATCAAAGCGTGAGATCCTCATCGGGAGGCAAACTCTCAAACAGCGCTGCTTAACAGATGAGGAAGGGTGCATGACGAACTAGCTCAGCAGAAATCATCTGCGCTTGCACCTGATACCAGAGGCACCCCGCAA